ATCCCCCCTCATATCCACCCTCACATCCACCCTCACATCCACCCTCACATCCACCCTCACATCCACCCACAGGATATCCTATTTTGACGGGCTATCACCACCTCCTTACAACACACCATCATCCCATCTCTCACATCCCCTCTCACAATCCCCCTCACATCCACCATCACAACTCCCCTCACATCCACCCTCACATCCCCCCTCACATCCACCCACAGGACATCCTCCGCTACCGGGCTATCACCACCTCTATACAACACACCATCATCCCATCCCTCACATTCCCTCTCAAAATCCCCCTCACATCTACCCTCACATCTACCCTCACATCCACCCTCTCAACCACCCTCACAATCCTCCTCACATCCACCCTCACAACCACCCTCACAATCCCTCTCACATCACCCCTCACATCCACCCTCACATCCACCCTCACACCCACCCACACAACCACCCTCACATCCCCCCTCACATCCCCCTCACATCCCCCCTCACATCTACCCTCACATCCACCCACAGGACATCCTCCGATGCCGGGCTATCACCACCTCTATACAACACACAATCATCCCATCCCTCACACCCCCTCTCACATCCACCCTCACATCTACCCTCACATCCACCCTCACATCCACCCTCACATCCACCCACAGGACATCCTGCGAAGCCTTTCTATCCCCACCTCTATACAACACACCATCATCCCATCCATCACATCCCCCCTCACTATCCCCCTCACACACACCCTCTCACATCCACCCTCACATCCCCCCTCACAACCCCTCACAATCCCCCTCACAACCACCCACACATCTCCTATCACATCCACCCTCACATCCACCCTCACATCCACCACAGGGTATCCTCTTTTGCCGTGCTATCACCACCTCTATACAACACACCATCATCCCATCCCTCACACCCCCTCTCACAATCCCCCGTCACATCCACCCTCACATCCACCCACAGGACATCCTCAGATGCCGGGCTATCACCACCTCTATACAGCACATCATTATCCCATTCCTCACATCCCCTCTCACAATCCCCCTCACATCCCCCCTCACATCCCCCCTCACACCCCCACTCACATCCCCCCTCACATCCACCCACAGGACATCCTCCGGTGCCGGGCTATCACCACCTCTATACAACACATCGAGTTTGACGTACCGGACGCTGGTCAGCAGGTCAAGTTCAGGTCAGTTGAGTCAACAGTTCGGTCAGAAATCACCTGATAGATCTAAGCACATCATTTAACCTACCAACCAATCGGCTGGTCAATCGTGCCATCAGTTTCCACAATACAACTTAATGATTAATCAAGTTTAAAAATGTAAGTACAATAGAAATATATAATAGAAGCAATAAACCACAAAACCAATAAAAAGATACAATGCGTCAAATAATCAATGAATAATATTTATGTCTAACTATCAATTCAACAAAATCATGTCAAATAATCAATGGAACATTATTCTTTCATGTCACATAATTAATCGGACTGGCGGCCAAAATTCAAAATTTTCTACCAACTGAAAATATTAGGTGTGCCCCGCGCGCTCATATGACCTTATGCAGTTGCAAGCGCCGTAAAAACACTTTACAAAACAAAACAAAACAATATGTCAAATATTATTCAATCAAACTGTAGATTGTATGTCTAATAATCAATTAAAGGTGTCAGATTATCAATTAATCATATTGTTAAAACATCATCAATCACCGAGCCATTTCAACAGCTAATCAATCACATCAAATTTTAATATCTCTCTCTCTTTCTCTCTCTCTCTCTCTCTCTCTCTCTCTCTCT